TGTGGAGACAGCTTGGAAGATTGGCAGAGCCATCTCCCACACTGGCATCTTGTGGGTGGCAGGGCCAGTTTCTCTGGCTGCCTGAGCCAAGCAGTGGCTGAGAATACACCACTGCCACTTGTGGCCACAGGCCTAGGCTAGTCAGGAAGATGGCGGCTGGTTAAGAACAAGCAAGATTGGGTGCCACCATTTTAAATATTACTGCAACATCCCCATACCTGCTGAATTTCTCAGGAGAGCAGGCCTTGCACATTGCCTGGGCAGTACAGTAGAGCCAGCCCTGTATGTGGAGTTGCAGGTGAACTGGCCAATGGGAATGAGTGTAGAAGAGCTGGCCCTGCCACTTTTTTGCTGGCATGGTGGCACAGAAGAGGGAGAGACATCTTCCTCCCTCCTTCCTCCCCCCTCCTCCCTTCTCTCTCCTCCCTCCTCCCCTCACTCACCATCTGTAGCAGATGGGAAAGCTGGCTCCAGAATTATGAGAGTAGGAGAACAGTCCATGTCCCTCACTGGCTGCAGCACTCTGGAGAGCAGGCCTTGCACCTCACCTGGGCAGCAGGATAGAGCTGGCCCTGGTGGCAGGGGTTCCAAGTGAGCCAGGCCTGAGGTGGTGAGGTCCTGAGAGCCAGAGGGCTGACCATCTCTGATGCCTCTCAGGCCCAGTTCCAGAGCTTTGAGTTGGCCCACTCCAACATCTACCCTGTCAGTGAAATGCTCGAGTACATGAAGGGGCAGTTTCTACAGATCCAAAACTACATGGGCTCCATAACACAAGGCAATAACAGGATATCTGAGAGGAGTCCTGGTGAGGTTCCAGTATTGATAGTGTAGCAGAAGCCAGAGGCCTTGAATCAGATGAAGGAGTCACTGCAATGAACATTTCTAAGCAAAGAAGTGTGGACAAAAGGGAATTCTGTGGGACACACTGTGCTGCCATACTACAGCTTCCAAAACGAGATTGTTTTTTTCTCTGTTGGTGGGGCGGGTGTTGCAAGGGTGGAGGGGAGGGGGAGATGGGTGGGATTGGAGAGCATGATGTGAAGTTCACAAAGAAAAATAAGAAGTTTTTAGAAAATTTTAATTTTTTTGCGTGTGTGTTCAGTGAAGAAGAGGTCAAATTTCATTCTCCCAATGAATGGTTGCTGTTCTATCTACCATCTTTGACACATCTGTTCTCTCCCCATGAGGTACACTGACATTGACTTAGGTTTTTACTGCTGTGAACAGACACCATGACCAAGGCAACTCTTATAAGGACAACATTTAATTTGGGCTGGCTTACAAGTTCAGGGGTTCAGTCTATTATCATCAAGGTGGGAATGTGGCAGTAACAAGGCAGGCAGGGTGCAGGAGAAGCTGAGAGTTCTACATCTTCATCTGAAGGCTGCTAGCAGAATACTGACTACCAGGAAGCTAGGACGAGTATCTTAAAGGCCACACCCACAGTGACACACCTATTCCAACAAGGCCACATCTCCTGTGTACTGATCATATTTATTACACTCTAGTCGTTTACATTTAATGAAATCTACCCATTCAAATGTATAGTTTATCCAATGTGTATAATCCTGTAACCATCATTCTCATGATACAGGAGATTTCCATCTCCTCCACAATTCCCTATCTGTGTTTAATGGCTTCCGTCTCCTCTCAACCTCTGGGGAACTCTGATTTTAGTTTTGTTTATATTTTTACTACTTCTGAAATTCTATGTATGATGACTTCTTTTGTGTGACACTTTCGCACGTAGCCTGATAGTCTTGCAGTTCACACATGTTGCATGTGCCAGGGGCTCACTCCTTCTCCTTGCTTGTGTAGAAGAAGCATTATTTTTTTGTTCACTGATCAGCTTATCAATGGGCTATTTCAAGATCACTGACAGACCATCCTGACTGTCAATAAAGCAACTGTGAACACTGTGTGTTAGTGTAGGCATATAGCATTCGAATATTAGCTAGGCATCTGGAGTACGGATTGGTAGATTATAGAATAACAGTAATTTTAGTCAAACTTGTCAATATGTTTTATAAAGTCATTTAAAAATATACAACCCAGAATGAAAACTTTATATTTTTTTTATCTTTACCATGAAAATATTGTCAGCCTTTTAAAAAATAATTTATTTATTTTTTCCAAATCATAATTTATACTCACTCACACAGGGGTTATAAACACAAAAAGGCAGGATGTGGGGAAGGAAATGACACTGGAGCGTGGGTGTTCAGGGGGAATACAGATATCATCAGAACAGGGTATTGGCTGGGTGAAAGTTCAGGGGACAGGTCACTATGACTCTGCCTATGATTCACTTGTCCTTATCTAAGTTGGTATTATCTGCCAAGGCTACCTATTTACAAGGTCTATGACTACTCAAGCTGGTAAATTTCCACAAAAGCTGCCGGTTAACAATAGCTTATAGCCATGTTTCAATGTTTTTCCACAGAGATCCAAGACTTGGTGTTAGTATACATGTATGACAGGCCTATTGCTGATTTTAGGCCTATGGCTGATTTTAGGCCTTCAGTGTATAAGCAGGGATGCCCCTGAAATCTCCTCCCTTCTCTAAGTATAGACGGGCTGTGGCAAATCTAATCTTGCGAAGGCGGAGATAGAGGCCTGACTTCCAGTAATTGAAGGGGACCTTGCAATGGCTCCGGTCCCCCTGTCATTGTCCAGTGAGGCATGAGGGCCATACCCATCCCAATGTCTTTTTCCTGGAGAGGGGATACTTTTGACATCAACCCCTATGCAGTCAGGCTTGTCCCTCAGGGAACCCAGAGAGATATTTTTAACTTTTATTGATATTCCCTTGCAGTGCTTAGCCTCGAAGCCTAAGCAAGAATTCGGTCGCCTGTCAGAGGGGGTTCTGGGTGGCCCCTCTCTGCCTGGTCTAGGGGCAGAAGTACCTTCTTTTAGGTTGGGTGGAGATGGGTTTTGGGAACACCCTGGATAAAGTAACAACCTCATCTTGAGTCTCGTGGTCCTCCATAGCTAACTTATGATAATGTATCTGAATAGGTTTTGCTACCAAATTATTTATCTGTTGTTTCACAGAGTTAGTCAGCCTATTTGAGGCCCAGGGACCAGAAGAAATAAGCAAAAATAACCCAAATAATGGTCCCAAGACTGTCAGCGTTTTTAAGTTGTATGTTCTAGTGGATGTGTTGTGCTATCGTGATATATTGATAATTTATATATTCCCAGTAAATACTGATGATGGCTGTTACTGTTGTTCTGTGTATGGTATAGATATGTGTGTGTTCAAGTGTGTGAGTGTGGACACACAGGTAACACAGTGCATATAGAAAACAGAGGACACCTCAAGTACTGGTCCTCCCCTTCCCCTTTCTTTGAGATGGGTCTCTTTTGTTTAGGTCCACCTGGCATCTTGCTGACAGACCACTGAGAGTATAGACATATGCTGCTATACTTGGCTTTACATATGTTCTGGGGAATCGAACTCAAATCCTCACTGCACCACTGAACTATCTCCCCAGCCCATTTTGAGGGCATTTAATGTAAGCTTATTTTTTTTCCTTTTTGCTATCCTTAAGGATATAAAGTAATTGTTCATTTAAAAAAATGTTTTTGTCTTTTACTAGTTGCTTTTATTTTTCTTACTAAATTCCAAGTGTCCATGGATATTCTAATCCTCAGAAATGTTTTGTGAACATTTTCTCCCAGCAAATGGCAGGCTCCTTTACACTTTTAGAAGACATTTTACTGATTCTTTGTGAGTTTCACATCATGTACCCAGTCCTGTTCATTACCCCATCCCCCTTTACCTACCCTTTGCCCTTTCAATCCTCCTTCCCAAACAAAACACATTCAGCAAACATCAAGGACAAAAACAAAAAGCGAAGCACAGAAAACATCTCATCATGGAAGCTGTAGTGTGTCACAGGGTGTCCCACAGTATGTCCTTTTGTCCACACTTCTCTGCTCGCAAATGTTCATTGCAGTGAGTCACTGGTCTGGCTCGAGATCTCTGGCTTCTGTGACACCATCAATGTTGGATCCTCCTCAGGACCTCTGGTTGTACTGTTGTTGCCCTGTGATACGGAGATCCTGCAGCTCTGAAACAGCTGGACTGGCCTCTTTACTCGTCCCGATCATTCACAGATGGTATGGAGTTTGTGGTGGGCCTTTCAGAGCTCTGGATCTGGGCCTGGGCGGTAGCTGAGTACAGTAGCTGATAAGGAGCAAGGTTAGCTTTCCGGAGCTCACGGCCCTGCAGGCAGCTTTCCTGATTGTTGGAGGTGGAGGGACGGCATCATTTCTGCACCTGTGCCACTCCACAGCAGGCAAGTGGCAAGGTCAGTGGGTCAACTCTCCCACACTCACACCCTTGGCCGGCTCATCCCTGCCGGCAGGGCAAGCTTCACTGTGCTACCTGGGCAAGGTGTAGGCAGGGCCCAGTCTCCCAAGTGCTGCCACTTGAGAGATGGGGACCAGCCCTCCAGAGTTTGGCATCTAATGAGGGGTGGGGTCAATTATGCACAGTCCCTGCACATCCACGTGGTCCTCCGTGGCTGCGCTGACTAGGGACATCCCCATGTTTGCTAGTGGTAATATGAGCCAAGGAAAATGACATGGACCCCTGCCACTGCTGCGCAGCCGTGGACTCAGACATGACCCTCAGTGGCAGCTCAGGCTGGGACCATTCCATGGCCCCAGGTAGCAGGACCCGCTACTTATAACAAGATACTCCCCTCCACTCTTACGTCTTTAGTTCCATCTCTCTTCATGATGCTCAATCTGTTCCAATCCTCTTTCTCTTCCATCTGACCGCCGCATGCTCACACGTTGTGGTGGCTCCCGCTGTAGGCTAGCCATGTGGCTGGCAGGCCCCTGGGTGACATTCTCCATCCACGGGCAAGCAGGTGTCTGGAATGCCATGGAAGGGAGGGCAGGTCTGTGGTTGACATGGTGGCTTGCAGGTCTCTGTTTTCCTCCTCCTGGGCTGTGCTGCCTGGATTTGATTCGATTTTATTTGATCTTTATGAGTCCTAGGCATAAGCAACTTTGGTCACCAAGCCAGGCATCAAGCTAGGATGAACAAAGGGCTGTCATCTGCCCTGCCCCTGACTGATATAAGAACAACACCACTACCAACAAAGTGTCTCTTTGCCTGTGGCCAGGGGACTCCTTTACACTTTTATTGACTATGGTTCAAAAGACAAAATATTTGATTCATCAGATCAGATTACCAGGTCTCTCTTCCATGTTTGTTTTCATGCCCTGTCTGAGAAATGCTTTGGTTTTAACCCAGGCTCACAGATGTTCTCCTGTGTCTTTACAGAAAAACATAAAACTCTTGAGTATTTTCGTTTAGTCTTTGATGCTGCTCGGGATTTTAGAAAATACGGTTTGAGTTGAGTTTGAGATTCATTTTCTCGTTCATTAATAAGCAGTTACTTCAGCTCCATTTGTTGAGAAGACCGTCTTTCCCTCCACTCAATTGTCTTAGTTTCTTTGCTGAAGATTAGTTGACCATATATTCATGAATCTATTTTGGGTGACTCTATTCCGTCTTATTGATCTACATTCTGTTTGAACGCACAGACTGAAGACTGTGCCTTCTTACTCAGTCTAGATGCCAGAGTCAGTCCTCTCTCTCCTCTGATTCACTTCAACTATCTTCACTCCGCATCTCCCCGTAGCTTTGAAAAACAACCTGGAAACTTCTATAAAGGCCGCCTATTCGGATTTTGACACTATTGGGTCTTCTCTTATGATTTGGGTATCTTTCTGTACATTTAGGTTTTCTTTCTTTAATTTTTTTCAGTGATATATTTGCTTTAGTTAACTTTCCAAGTCTCGATTGTTTATTGGTAATATATGAAAGAGTTATTATTATTGCTTTGACTCTATCTTGAAGGTTTACTGAAGACTCCTTTCATGACTTGTAATCATTTTTTAATGACATCTTAAAATTAGAAAATGACATCTGAGAAAAGAGACATTTCTTTTTCTTCCCCCGGCCACCACCCTGCCCAGGACTCAATTACTCCCTTTTTCTTGCTTTGTCGTGTTCACTACATAAGGTGTTGCATAAAGGTAGTGTGAATAGACATTGTTGTGTTTATTCTAAAATGAGCATGTTTTATGTCCCATGGCCACGTGTGGTGTGAGGGCAGTGTTCGTTTTGACAAAAAATAAGATAATTCCAGTGAGCACTGTCATCTTGAAAGAGAGTTTGTTATGGTGCACAGGGTCATGTATGATACACAGGTACGGTATCTTGTATAATCCACAAGTATAATATCTTCCATGATACATAGGTATTGGATTTTGTGAAACGCTTATTTTGTATGAATTTTGGGTGTTTATCCTGCTTCTCTTTTATGCTTATCAGTATTAATTACTATGGTTAATTTTTTTGACTGTCAAACCAATCTTAAATTTCTAGGATAACCCCAACATACTAGTGGTGCGCTATTTTATAAGCTTCTAAATGAAGTTTGCTAAAATATTATTGAGGGCTTATTATTTTATTTGTGTGTTTATGTGTGTGCAGTGTGCCACAGTGCACATGTGAGCTCAGAAGACCATTTGCTGGATTCAGTTCTCTCCTTTTGCCATATGGGTCCTGGAGATAGAACTTCAGGTCAGCATGCTTGGCAGACAGCACCTTTATCTGCTGAGCCATTTCACTGGCCCACTGGGTGGGGATTTATATAACTGTGTATTAGTTTCCTGTTGTCTCTGGAGACAATTGTTATAAAGACAGTGGTTGGAAATAATACAGGGTGATCTTTTTATAGCTCTGGAGGTCAGAGGCCGAAGGTCATATCAATAAAATGAAGTCCAAGAGGTGTCCAGCCTGACTTCCTAAGGGTACTCTGAAGGGATATTTTTTTCCCAGCTCCATTGTTCCCTCCCTCTATCTTCAAGCTCATCCCTGCACTCTCTGCTTTTACCCTAACATCATCGTCTCTGCGTCCCCTCCTGTGAAGACTGCTGTGGCCTTACCAGTTCCAACTGGTAATCTAGTTTAGTTCTCCCCCCTCAAGATCCTTTATCACATTCACCATGCCCCCTTTAATTAATAAGGTGGTGTTTTGAAGTTCCAGAGGGTTTTCTTGTATTTTTATGTAGTTTTGGTATAAGGGTAACACTGACCTCGTTAAGCCAATTGAGAAATATCTGATACCATTTCCTGAGAGTTATGTGTGTTGAAAGGCATAATTTCTTCTTTAAATGTTTAATAGTATTTATCAGCGAAGCCATCTGTCCCTTAGCCCTCCCTAGCCCCCCAGACTGTGCCCCTGTCCTCCATCTTACTTTGTCAATCCTTTTAACCCTTTCTCGGAGTACTCAGTGATGATCATGGTGTTGTAATTGCTGTCGTCACATGAACATCTCACAGCATCTGGCCTTTGTTTGACACATATTTGTTGAGTGGCCAATTGGCTGACTGACTGAGGAATTGAATTCGTGTGAGGTATGCCTGCAGTTTTATAAAGTTTTCTTCCCATACTTTTTGATTAAGTTAGCTCAGAGTGGTTTCTCTTTCTAGCATCTGAAAGTATGTCGAAGGTCAACATGGAAAGGTTCAACTTTGTTGAAGGTGGATGTCAATGTTATGTTCCCAGTGAAATGCAGAGAGTGAGGGAACCCCATAGCTGGAGATGATGGGAGAAGATGTAGGAAGAAGCCAGGTTCACCCAGTCTAGCTAAGCCTGGAGGTCTAACACACACATACTCTCAGGAAGTGGTATTCAATGTTTCTCGGTTGGCTTAAGGAGGCCAGCCTTTTCCTGACTCCGAAATTACATAAAAATTGATGAGAAAATTAGAGATCCTCTGGATCCTCAAAACAATACCTTATAATTAGGGGACTTTGTGGGTGTGATTAAGGATTTTGAGAGGGGAGAAGTTAACTCCCTTGCTTCTTAGCTGAGCATGAAGGTGAGCAAGACCAAAGTGTTGGCTTGGATGTTTTTAAAACCTACTTTTAATAAGGGGTTTCAAATGCTTTGACCTTCCTCTTCTTGCCCACCATCCAAAGATAGGGGAGAAAAGATGGTAAATAGGACAAGGGGATGTGGACCTGTTTAGAAGTAGTTCCTTGGGGCAATTTTAATCTCTGTTTGTCAGGATGCCAGCAGTCCAGCTCAGTAGTGTCAGGATAGCAAACAGGAATGAGTAGCAGTGGCAGAAACAGCCAGGCTTCCACCGAATCAGTATGAGTCATCAGACATGACCTGGACCAGTCAGAGACTCCAGGAGTTTTCTGCAGTGCCTTCACTTCTCAAGGAAGTGAAGATCAGCAAAGACGGAAATGCAAGACCAATGAAACATTGCCACGCTGGCTATGCAAGCGCCACCACTGTCCATTCAGTCCTTTTTTATACTTTCTCCAAGAGCCTTCCACATACCTTGTCTTAGTATAACCCCACATGAGTCTGTCTTAACAAAACACCATGTGAGTCTATATCACCTGACATATCCAGAAACTTTTCATTTCCCCAAAGCATGAATCAGAGGCCCTGGGTATGAAAGAAAGGAGCCTGAAGCTGATGAAGTCTGTGACCCAGCTTTGGCTGAATGTTCAGGCTTCCATCTGCATGTAGCTCTATGTCACCATCTCCTAATACAGCTTATATTCTTTTTCCCTAAGGACAGCTATGCACACACACATTTAAACATACCAATATTTGCCTCCAATTTCTAAACATAGTTCCCAATGCATTGGGGAGAAAGGATCTCCTTCATTTCGATCACCTAGATGTATTAAAATATAAAGAAAAAAAAAAAGAATGAGCTTCAGTCACGACTCTGAATTCCCATTTATTTTTCTCCTCTGTAGGAATTCATCTGTGTCCTCAGTTCCCCCGATTGGCTCGCTTTATGATGCTTTCTGTCTGAATACAAAGTCCCCGTGGTTCCTGCAAGTCATCACCGTCTGATTCATTGCCGTTGCTCTGAGATCCATCATCAACTACCAAATCTTGAAAATTTGCAAGGAATTGAAAGCTCTCCAGAGGAGACAGGCAAGGGAAATAAATGTATCCTTAGATACCCTCATTCACTCAATCTGACAAGCATAGATTATGTTGTTTGAAATACTTTCCAGACTGCTAGGAAGTGTCCCCGAGTGGGACGTTTGAAGGGAATCAAGCCTTTGTGCCGTTGGACACTGCCTCACTGTTTATGAAATCACATAGTTTGGAAATGAAAGACTTATGAAGTCATCTGGTCCATGCTGCCAGGACAGACTTCTCTCGTTCTCGTCCTTCATCTTGACCAGTGGTATTTGGGGTTTGATTGACTCCAAGAGCTTACATGTAGCAGGGCTGCTGGAGGTCAAAGGTGAGTTCAGTTCTTGTTTATATCTGCAAGCCCTAGCTCTCCAAAGGTATCTTGTAGATGCTTAGTGAGTACTCGTTAAACAGAAGGAAATTGATTTCTTTTTTTTATAAATCAAAGTCTTTGGCATGTTGAATGTTGCCTACTTTGGTGATCAAATTGACACTAAAGGCTTACAAATATTTGAAGCAGCATTGGCTAACTTTTTGACCTGGGCATAAAAAATAGATTCATTTGTTGTAACAAATAAACAGGAGACACGAAGCACAAATGAATATTAAGTAACAGAGCTCACTGACTTCTCTGAAGGGAGAGCCATGTCTAAAGTATGGAGAATGGATTCTATAATGTCTTCTTTTACGAGGTCTTAATAGAGTCCACCAAATTGGTTTCAGGCGACCTCCATGAAAGGGTCATTCAATCCTCAAAGAGGTTATAACACACAGGTTGAGAACACTTCTCTGGGTCAATAAGGAAGCAGCAAAGCACCACTAAAAAGTGTAACTGCCTGACTCATCTTGGCTTCATACCATACTGGTAACTGGAGTTGAGCTGGTTCAGTTGGTAGCTCTAGTTCTTCTCAGGCCTACTGTGAAAACTTTTGACATCCTTCTTGCTACCTCATCTATTTCTGTGGCTTTTGGTCAGCAGCTCCTGTAAAGCCCAAAGCCTTACATCCTAATGGTAGGCCACACCTCCCATTTAAATCCACCATCCTGTTTGTGATCTGCCTGCCAACTTGCTTATGAGGAATAGAAAGGAAGAAAATGGCTGGGCATGCTGAGGGCATGTCTGGGCAGGGCTGGTTTGCTGTGCCACAGTCTCAAGCTT